AGCCTGTATCAGACGCACCTCAGTCTCCAGAGTGACACCATTGCTCTTCAGTACCCTGGAGAGGTCCCTAACAGCCGACTTTTCCTTCGCAATACGTTTTTTGATTTCCTGGCTACTAGTGCCAAGAGTGTTGACCATGGAAACGTTAGAATTCACTTACTGTGAAGTCACTTTTTGGCATCAAGTTAGAACCCAACTCAAGCTGAACTTCCCTTGGGTTTCTGAAGAGTGTTTTATTGCATGCTGGCCTAAGATCCTGAAGGAAACAAGGACTTTCTTCCACAACAGAGAGAATGTGTTCCTTCACCCACTTCATTTGGTCTTCAAGGTTCTAAACTTAGCAAATGGTGAAGAGAATTCTAGTTTACTTTCAGTTGCACGATGAGAGACTTCTAGTCTTCTCTTCCTAACCCTAAGAGATTCCAGCAGATCCTCAGCAAACCCAAATTCCAGGCCTAAAACACCCATCGCAGGCTGCCCTCTCCAGGGACCTGAGGGGCAGAGCCGTGACATTTATCTTTAATACGTAATTCTTGCTTACCTGATTCTCAGAGTGTTACTCCATCCCAAGCCTCAAATTAGTGGCTTATTAATTATACCACTTACTGATTCCTCTCCTGACCTCTTACATTCACACCAGATTTTAAAAAATGAACACAAAACAAGACAGTAAAACACTGAAAGAAGAGTATTCTATTTTTGAACATTTTTAGACTTCCCGTGCAACATAACAATAAGCTATCCTGTGCCACCAATCTGTAGTATAATTAAAGTCTTGCCTTTATCCCTTCAGAATTTACATATCCAATTATCCTTTTGTTTAATTTCCTATGCTTTTTGTTATGATGACCATAAACTTTTTAATGAGAAAGTCTCTTAATTTGATGGACATTGCAGTTTATTCACCTCATTATAAATAACTATGTGACTACACACACACACACACACACACACACACACACACACACACCCACACCCAGGATCCATACCACTATATAGATTCTTAGGTGTATATAAGACTCATTTGAGGATCTTATTTAAAAAGTAGATTTTGCGCGAGTTCTCTGTAAGGGATAAAACTGGAATAAACCAGTTCTAAGTTCTGGAAATTATGCAGTGTCAGGGACTGTTGAGATGATGCAGAAAGGTGAATTACATAAAAACAATGCTTATTTTAAAGAACACATCCTCACCCTCATGAGTGGTTACTGCACTGGTGCATTTAATTAAGAGAAGGCACCAATTAAAGCGCAAGAGCTGTTTGCTCCACTACAATCTCTGCTTTCTTATTTTTTTAGCAATTCTACATCTAGACCTACTTTTTTCCTGTCAAAGCTGGAAACTCCTAAAAGGGAGGGGCCTTCCAGTCTAGGCATTTCTGGGCAGTGTGAGTGGTTAACACAATCACCAGCTAAGGTTGGAGGTTCAAATCTACCTAGAAGCATGTCTACAGGAAGACCTGGTGATTTATTTCCAAAAACTCAGCCACCGAAAATTCTATGGAACACAATTCTACTCTCACACATATGGGCTGCCATGAATCCTAATCAACTCCTGGGAAATGGGTTCATTTATTCTGATTCAGTCTTGAAGACTCAATCTTTGGGTCAAATTCAGAACACACTGCTGGAGTGAACACAGGAGGACAGATGACCTGTTAGGACTTAAGTGTCATGTCTCAGATGAGAATTATTTTATCTGGCAAATTTATGTGCAAAAGTAACTTTCCTCAACAGCAAGAAAGCTACCTGAAGCTATGACCCTGTCAAGTGTACCCCACATTCCTATCTTCAGCAATGATGAACATCTCAGGATCTAACAGCAAATGAATGCCACATAGTTCCTTACTAAAATGAGACTGGTAATAGGAGAAAATCATTTTTGGAAGGAAAAAAGATCAATGTGTTTTGCTAACTTTTGGGGGAATGAAGACCAAGATTTAAGAAAATCTGAAACAGACAGTTCAATGAATTAACAAATAATGGACACTGGGGAGCTCTGGTGGCCTAGTGTTAAAGGGGCTGTGCTACCAACTCAAAGGCACATGGTTTGAATCCACCACCTGCTCCATGGAAGACACATGGGCAGTTTCCTCCTGTGTGATTTACTGTCTCTGAAAACGCAGCAGAGGGTCAGCCATGGGTTGGTTCTGACTTGATGGTACATAGGACAATGTAACACTTTAGTATCAAGTGGGGACTAAAGCATATAGACAGGAATGAGCTCACACGATACTGGAAAAGAATCTCACTCAAAAGCAGTTTGAAAAACAGTATGAGAATATACTCAGACACCAATAAAGAGATATTTTGAAGTAATTTATTTCTTTGTTTTTTAAATTTCCAGGCTCCCACCCTCTGTTTAAAAGGCAGGGCAGCTCTATCTTGAATACCATTTAGAATATGACCCAGCTCTCTGATTTATGCAAAAAGGCATAAACTCACAAATCTGCTTGGTCTACTTTCATTTTTCAATAAAAGGTTGTGTGCAGCTGCTGTTTCTGGGGAAATAAAATCTTGGGACATGGATAGTGAATAACTCAATCAATTCTTCTTCATTAAATCCATCAGGTCATCTTCTATTCCTTTCTCATTCAGCTCGTCTATACTGTAGTATCGATGAGTGATCTTGTCAGCGGTGACCACCACGACACGGAGCCCATGCGTGTCTTGGCCCAGCTGGCACCCGATGGCGGACGACACCACCATGTCGAGGTTCTGGTAGGTGCCCCCGGCATTCCTGTGGTAGTGGCCTGAGAACACAGCTTTGATACCTGCAGGGACAAAGAGGAGGCATTATGGGTTGTGAGGGGCTTCCATTTAGGTAACCAGGACCTCTGATGTTTTCCTTGTGGAAAATACAGAGTTTATGAAATACCTAATATTATGGAGTTCTTGATTGGTGTAAAATAGCAATTGACAACTAAATGAATGGTTGGTGGTTCGAGTCTACCCAGAGGTGGCTGGGAAGATAGATCTGGTGGCCTACTTCTGAAAGATCACACTGCAAACCCTGGAGCACAGTGCTACTCTGTTATACATGGGGTCAGCATGAGTTAGAATTGACTCCTTAGAATGGATCTGATTTCTTTTTCTTAAGTATTATTTTGTGGTTAAGGAGCAAGACAGCATACGTGACATCCAGGATATCTTCAAGAATAGTCCATATACACAAGATGGGGTAAATGAAGATGTCTGTCATAACAAGCATTAGAAAGTGTTAGGTGATGAGAAGAGAGAAAGAAGACAAAATGAACGGCTTTGGGAGAGATAAAGGAGCTGATGACAGTGTTCTGAGATCTACATCAGCAGGTACAGCTCTGGTAGCTTAGTGTGTAAGGAGCTGCTCTGCCAAGCCAAAGGCACTTGGCTCAAATCCAACAGTCAAGCCACTCCAAGAGAGAAAGATGGGTACTCTCTTCCTGTGCAATTTACTGCCTCTGAAAACCTGCAAAAGGGTCAGCTCTGAGTTGGTTCTGACTTGACAGCACACACCAACACCACAATATGCACTGAACAAAAGCTATGGGTTCATGAAAAGAAAAGTTTACAGAGTTCCAATCAAGATAGCACAGTATCCACTATCTGGCGCACTTCCTCTGCCTCAAACTCACAGCCATGACAAAGAAAATATAAAAAGAAAACCTAAAGATCAGGTGAGGCTCAAAACAAAATAAATAGCTCCATAGTTTAGAAATAAAAGTCACATACTGAGTGGGGTTAAAATATTGCTTGGGAGCTCGGCTCTTACAATGATGGCTGAGACTGAAGGCATTCTCTAAGAGACAGGAAGTAGAGCTGGGCTCCATATTTGAAGTAGGGCTGCGGAAGAAGGCCAAATAAAGTTCTGGGTGCTGCTGCTGAATGCCTGTAAGCCCCCCATGTAAAAAGGGATGAAGGTCTAATTTCTAATGTTTATTGTTTTTCATGGTGTAAACACTCCCACCATTGACAATTTAGTCAATGTACAAGGAGCTGGAGTCCGAAAATCAAAAGAGCTGAACTCACTCGGCATTTCTTAAGATGAGGGAACTAAAGAATAAATTCGAGCCACGAGTTGCAGTACTTAAGGAGAGCTCTGGTGGCCTAGTGGCAAGAAGCTGCACTGCAATCCCAGAGGTGCACGGTTCAAATCCACCAGATGCTCTGCCGGGAAAGGAGGGACAATCTCCTCCTGTACCAGTCAGATCCAATTTGACGGTACGCACACACACACACATAAAATAATAAAAAGAAATTGAAAAAAAAGTTGCAGTACTTAAGAATGCTACGGGCAGAATACTGAATGATCCAGGAAGCATTAAAAAAAAATATGGAAGGAGTACACAAAGTCATTGTACCAAAAAGAATTAGCTGACACAGAAGAATTTAAAGAAACAACATATGATCAAGACGCAATGGTGATGAAGGAGGAGGTTCAGGCTGCTCTAAAAGACTTGGCAAAAAATAAAGCCCCAGGAATTGAAAGCATACCAATTGACATATTTCAACAAACAGACGCTGTCCTGGATGTGCTCACCAGGTTGTACCAAGAAATCTGAAGGACAACTACCTGGCCACTGACTGGAAAAGATCCGTATTTATTCCCACTCCAAAAAAAGGTGACCCAATAGAGTGTGGAAATTATCGTACAAAATCACTCATATCACATGCAAGAAAAATCCTGCTGAAGATTATCCAAAAATGTCTGGAGCAGTACATCAACAGAGAACTGCCAGAAATATAAACTGGGTTTAGAAGAGGTTGTGACTCTAGAGACATTATTGCCAATGTCGAACAGACGTTGGCAGAAAGCAAAGAGTATCAGAAAAATGTCTGTGTTTCATTGACTGTGCAAAGGCATTTGACTGTGTGGATCACAAAAAATTGTGGTTAACCTTGAGGAAAATGGGAATTGCAGAACACTTGATTGTGTTCATGCAGTCCTTGGAACAGAGCAAGGAAACACTGCATGGTTCAAAATTAGTAAAGGAGTGTGTCAGGGATGCATCCTATCTCTACACCTACATACAGAATGGATCATTTGGGAGGCTGAATTTTATGAGGAGGAATGTGGCATCAGGACTGGAGGAAGAATCATCAACAACCTATGTTAGGAAGATGATACAACCTTGCTTGCTGAAACTGATAAGGACCTGAAGTACTTGCTGCAGAAGGTCAAGTCTTCAATATGGATTGAAACTCAACCTCAAGAAAATAAATATTCTCACCACTGGGCCAACTGACAGCACCGTAACAGATGGAGAAGAGATGGAGGTTGTGAATAATTACAGCTTGCTTGGCTCCACAATCAACAGTGCTGGTACCAGCAGTTAGCAAATCAAAAGACAAAATGCACTGGGAAAATCTGCTATCAGGGACCTCTCCAGAGTACCGAGAAGCGGCAATATCAGTCTAGAAACTAAGGTGTGCCTGATCCAGGCCATAGTCTTTGCAATTACTTGCTATGCATTAGAGAGCTGGACAAAGACTAAGGATGACAGAAGAAGAATTGACACCTTTGAGTTGTGAGATATCATACATAATACTTGGGAGGGTGGAAGGACAGCGCAAGAGATGAAGACCCTGGATGAGATGGACTGACTCAGTGACTGGGGTGGGGGGGGCGGGCATGTCAGAGATGATAAGGTCGGCACAGCATAGAGCAGGATTCAGAGCCGTTGTACAGAGGGTCTCTATGAGTCACAAGCAACTCGCTGGCACTTAATAACAACAACATGCCTGAATGTTATGTTATTATGTGCCATCAGGTCAACTACATTCAGAGTGACCTTATGAACAACAGATCTGAACTTGGCCCTATCCTGTACTTATTATCTTCACAATCTCCAACACGCCGGAGCCCACTGTTGCAGTCACTGTGCCAACCCCATCTAACTGAGGGTCTTCTTCTCTTCCTCTGACCCTCCACCTTTTCCAGCATAACATCTGTTCCCAAGTACTGGTCCCTCCTGACAACATGCTCACGGTATGTGAGAAGTTTCCTCACCCTTGCGTCTAAGGAGAAACCTGGTCGTGCTTGCTCCAAGACAGATTTGAATATTCTGGAAGAGTGAAAATATATTCATTGATCTCAAACGTTATAAAACTTAACAAACAAGGAAAGATTCTAGACACAATCTCTTATGCTAATTATGTAAATTAACCCCCCAACATATTTACAACCTTATTTTATGGATGTACTAATATGCACATAAAAATATACTTCAAGAATGTCCACGGTACCACTCTGGAAAGCAGGGAAGAAGATACGGATTAGAAACAGTGGTAAAGACAGACAAGTGGGGAAAGAAGGAAGAAAAAGAAATATGCTCAAGATGTGCTCACAACTCTATGGTCTCGGAGGGGGGAGCCCTCCTGTAGGCAGGTGGGTCAGGTGTGGGCTGAGGCAGAGCTAGAGGTGCAAAGGAAGGGGACTCAGTTTCCCTATTTAAAAAGTCAAGGGTGAGAAGAAACTGGTATTTCCAATTGCTGTTAAGAGAACTGTTGTTGTGTGCCACTGAGTTGGAACCGACTCATAGCTGACTCTCCAGAGGGTTTTCAGAGGCAGTTAATCCATAGGAAGAGATTGTCTATCCTTCTCCCACTGAGCAGCTGGTGGCCTCAAACCGCGTGCCTTTGGGATTGCAGCACAGCTTCTTTCCACTAGGCCACATATAATTTCAAAAGGTATTAAGAGTTTTATCTTCTCACATTTTACAGTGTATTCCCCTTGACTCAGCAAAACCATTTTGGGAGCAATTTAAGCTTCAGAAGTACCTGAGACAGAGAACAAAACTCTATATGTGGAATGTCTGTGGGTGTTTCAGAGAGGCCCTGCTTGTAAGGGTCGTTTACAGGAGAATGGGTAAATTACAAGATATACATAAAAAAGAAGAAACTTTACACATACTGGCATTAAAAGACTCCACAAATATTAAGCATAGGCATCAGGTAGTGGTGGGAAGTATTGTGTGTCAGCCTGTTTTCATAAAATAAATGTAATGTATATTAAAGGATGTATTCATGTAGGTTTACACTTCCGAACCAAATGACTAAATTGCTAATAATTGGTGATTTCATGGGTAGGCGTTAACAAGGCAGAATGACTCCCTGCCGCCTTTTTATTACAAATTATGTTTATAATGATCAGGAAGAAAAGAGATCAAGGTGATGGGACAGTGACAGACCAGGACAGGGATGAAGGAGGCGCTGGACTTCTCTGCACGTGTGGAGGGGACACGGGGCCAAAGTGATTGTTCTGTGCAATCGAGAGCCGCCACTGGAACCACAGAGCTGGGCCTCAACTGACCAGGACCACAAAACTGCAGAGGCCACGGGAAGGTTCCCCGTAGCCTCCTGGGGCTTCCGAGTGGCATGTCCATCAGTGAGTGCCTCCTGATGCCCAGATGGGAGTCTGAGCCATGACCACCAGACTAGGCTCTGGGAGTTGAAAGTACTTAGCAACATTATTTTTTTAACAATAAATTATGTTTGCAAAACTTGGCTCTTTATGCCTTATTCATAACTGCAAACTGTACTATTTTAGAAGGGATGTTTGGCAATTCTGAAAGTATTAGCTGCAATTAGCTGTAAAAAACTCACTTATGTTTACATTTCACACCTTATTTATTGATATTTGTAGTAAGAGGCACATTAATGGTGAATGCTGGAATGACCAGCACGATGTTCAGATCTCACTGGACTGTGGACAGTGGGGCGTCTCTGAACTCTGACCTCCTGCCTGCCTCCAGGACTCACCACTTCCTGCTAATGTCCTAAGTCACAGAGAATG